ACCAAACAATATATGAACTCAAATGCTCAAAGCCCTGTAGTTTTCCAGGCTCCAAAACGTCGACATAAAAAATGTGACAAGAAATTTTCCAGTCGGCACATGTTGATGTCAACCGTAGCTGGCAAACATTGCCGTCTGCTTTATATCACCGATGTGGTGACGTAAGTTTGCTATTTCATCTACACTGACGAAACAGTAGGAGCTCTTCCCGCATTTTTAACGACCACCTGCATGAACCAGTTATCAACTCAGAGGTGACAAACAGGAAGTTCGTTGCTACATGCGGTGAACTATATGTTTATTTTAACATGTCTGTAGCGTGGCGTCGAGTCGAGATTAACTATGAACACCGCTACCAAGAAACACGTGCCAAATGAATCAGAAGGCGAGGGTTGGACGTAACCAAATAGATCCATAAAATCCCCGAGAAGCCAAATACCAGAAGGCAATTAATGGACCAAGTCGATGTTTATTTGCTGGCGATCTCGTGGCATCGAAAGGATACCGAGATCGTGCCAGGATACAAGCTTGGTTACAGAACGTAACCGAATTCGCGCGAAGTTACAATCAAAGTGTAAGTAAAAGAATGGAAGCACAAAATAGCTGTCATTAGCACAGTCAAACAAAAGCACGTTAAAACAAACACTGGTACAGTTGGTTATAATAATAATTGTTTTTATTAAACCAGTCGTGTTCTCGTGATAAATGTGAGTCACTACATGTCTTTTCGCAAACTCCTTCATTGGTTTTTCGTTGTTACGAGTGTTTCTATGTCAACCATTGGTATGAATCTACTACAACATTATAATCTACTCACCATTACGTAAAAATGAAGGTTAGTAGACAGCAATACGGCAATTATCTGTTTTTGGAAATTTATTTTCCGGCTGTTGGACATCTCCAGTCACTAGTAAACGCAAGGTCGACCCATTCTATCAACGGATGCTGGATAGGTACCCCGAACTATGCCAAGTACGACCAAAATCGCTGCGCGTAACCTGCAATCTTACGAATCACATCACCACAACAGGACTACCCGCATTTTTGAAGAAGCGCTGAATATCTCTCGAAAAGGTAAGGTAGGCCATTAAGAAATTTCACCACATAATAAACGCAAGAATTATTCGGCCATTGACCAGCCCAAGGGTGTCTCTATTCTTTATGGCCCCTAAATGGACAGCAATGATTGTTGACCAACTAGTGAATATTGGTCACTGAATACGAAAACCATTCCACATAGTTTCTGTTCACTCCCAATTAAAGATTTGATAGCTATCTTTAAAGGCACAGCTGTTTTTCCGAAAGTTGATCTAGTTGGACCATATAACCGTACTCCTATGGCTTCATACGCTGCCTTTAGAACCGTTATTGTCACTTTCTTCGGCTCACGAATTTTTTCGCATGCCTTCCGCTCAAATATGTGCTACAAAAACTTTCCAGAGTTTCGTCGACGACGTCTTTAGAGGTTTCAACTTCGTACGTGCATATACAGATGACTACCTGATCACAAGTACGGACTGAGAACCTCTGCACAAGCACCGGAACCTTGTTTTCGGACGACCCAAAAATTATGACATTGATCCGAGCATCCATATTCCAACTGAAGTCATGGACATTTTCCAGCGTGCTAATGAAGCCCAAGATATCCACTTACTGCAAAGCAAAGCAGTGACCATTCTGGATTATCCTAAACCAGCCACAGTCAAGGAACTGTGTTTGTCGGCCAGTTGAGTTCTTGTCAACGGTTCACGCCAATTCGTGCGTCTAACATGAGACCCTTAAAAGATCATTGTTGTGGATGCGGAGGAATAGACCAATAATTATCATGTTAAGTCCAATGGTGTCCTTGGACTTTAGATGGACATTTTCTATTGGTCGATATCTATTCACTTGTTGAGTATTGTACAAAATGTTGTTTTCTATTTTATGGTACGATGTGGTATGCTTGATTGGTATATAAACAAAGTATGTTTGAAATATAATGATTCATATCTCCGAGGCTGTGGCTTGTGTTCTGGACTCAACTGACTGGGCTAGACAGGGAAGCGAGACCAATCGAGACTCTAGGCCGTCCGTTCGTGTTTACGTGTCACTGTCACCGAATCGATCAATAAACGCTGCTTATCAAAACCTGCAGTCACACCCGTCATAACAATCATATTCTTGGAAATGCGAAATTCATCGATTCGAACGAAAGCATGTGGAAGCATTCTTCACATTTAAAGGAATTATCACAAAAGCAACGATGCTCCCACGCACTTCATCAAGGCATCTATTAGTGACGCTGTAGACACATCTGACTAGGCAATAGGAATATTCTTACAACAATAGGTGAACATCACCTGGCAACTTTTCACATTTTCCTGAAGACGATTCCAAAACACTGGATCGATGGTTGGAACTTTTGTCAGGGAACTCCTAGCACTGTGTTGTGCTGTACGACACTTTCAACACTCTGTGAAAGGCCGAAAATACACTCTGTTTCCCGATCATAAATCTATTAGGCTTTCTCTTGACTCTTCCAACAAGTACTCTCCTCGAGAGTCTCGACACCTGGACCACGTTTCACAGTTGACTGAAGGTACAACATATTTTTGAGGCACATAATGTGCTGACAGATGCCTTGGCCAGTGCAATCTCCTTCAACAGTTTCCAAGTTTTTGAACTTCTTAAACTCGTCCAGCTTCAAGAGTAAGACCCTGAACATCAGCAAAAATTATCTTCAATAACACGAACTACTGATCGAACAGGTGGAAATGGATCAGGAAACCTTGCCATGTGACACATTTACGAGTGAGGATTGCCCAATCGTGTCGAAGTATTATCGACGTAACGTCTTCAATACGTTTCTTAGGTAGGCATCCAGCTCATCTAAGAACGATATTATTGTCCTGGGAATAATAAATAAACGAGGAAATGGGCACACTCCTGAGTAAAGTGCCAAATTTTAAAGCGATTGGACAGAACATGCATTCCTTAGGCTCTTTCACAACTCCGCATGCTCGTTTCAACTATGTTCATCCCGATTTTTTAGGACTCTAAAAAAATTCAGATGGATACTCCTATCTATTAGCGTGTGTGACCCATGAGCAGTACCCATCAAAGGCATAACTGCCGAAACATTAGCTGGCGCCGTCGTCGAACAATTGGTAGAAAATGTCCGTTACGCTCCGACCACCACTACAGGCTATGGGTGCTAAACCGAATCTAAACTTTTCCGTTGTTTAACTGCACTCCTAGAGATCACACGATTCCAAAAAACCTCCTGTCACCCACGAGCTACCAGTGTAGTGGACAAGCTTCATTGACAGTAGAAAGCCTCACTTCCGGATGTCAACGTACCACAATGGTCTAACGCTCTCCCCAATGATATTCGCAAGGAAGTGAAAACCGGCGTTTGATACACTGCAGCACAAGTCATCTACGGAATGACACTCCTTCAGCTTTTTCAATGATTTTGGGTTTAAACTCTTACATGGCTAGGCTTCAAAACACTATGCGTTCATTTAAGCCTGTTTCCACTCGACTGTGCTCAACTGACGTCTTCACCAACTTAACTCGCTCAAAAAGCCCTAACATGATTGAATTTACTGTACATTATTAGTTTTGGGGCTGAGTCTTCGTAACCCTAAGTTATGTTTAGATTTTCAAAAGCGGTTTTTTTCAGTTCGCTTTTGGTATGACCGTTGTTCTTGTCTGAAATGTACGTATTCTGTCATTCAAATGGAGAATGTTTAAATGAATCTTAGTCCAGTAGTTTATTCAGAGCAAGATACGCCTGATCATTTTTCTCCTCAAAATATCTCGTATCTTCATTAGGCGACTATCATAACTGTCAGCCAGTTTCATCTGACAACTCGTCCTTCACATCCGTTTAACTCCCAACCTCGACTATCCTCAGTCGCTTCAAAAATTTAAAGTTTCTCATTTACGATGACTTTTTATTTCTACCTTTGCAAACCGCATTTGATACGTTCAAAAAGATTTATACTGACTATGGAACGCATACTGAGTCATGGAAGTTCGATGAATATTGTGAAGGTCAGTTTCAAGACACTTTCAGGCAATACTTGTCTACCATTACGCTATATATCTTGAGAATATCTTGTTGCACTAAACACACAATATTGAATGAAGTAAATACCATCTATCTATCTATCTATCAAATTAGTTATCTATCTACACTGTACACTTTAGAGATTCATTTTCTGTCCTATTTTGTGTAATTTGTGGACATTATTGGTACTCACCATATCTTATAATGACTTTATCCTTTTAGGGTTTCCTGTGATCTTGGTGGTTTTCTTTATTGTGCCCTTCATTCTGATGTTGTTTAGGTCGGACGATGTTACCGATGGGCTCACCACTTCGGTTGCACGAAATCCGATTCCACTTAAATCTCATGATTATCGTTATTGAAATATACATTGCCAATTCCCGCACAGAATCGTCGTTGTTAGTGAATAACGGAATTATATAACCCAAATACGGGAATAGCTTTTTGAATATATATTTTCTACACTCATTGGTCTGGACAGACAGTCAGAGGGACGGAGCGAAGGTGGCAAAGAAAAGGAAGAGAAGCAAAACGATGCGCGGTGGAAAAATTATATTAGCCAACTTGATTTTTTTTATCAAGCGTTAATCAATATTTATAGTCGCACAAAAATAAGCTACAGACATGTGATGAGTCGGATGAGACGTACACACTCATTCACTTATATAAATACATTCAGGGTTGATAGGTGAATAACTAATAAGTTCAACACGTGACTCAAGAAGAATGGGTAAATTTACTTGTTCAGAAGCTGGAATAAGGTATGTGGACTTAACGTAGTAACTGACTATACAGTTCAAACATAAGTTTAGAATAGCCCTTAACTTGACACAGGATCAAGCGCCAGTACATAGTGTTAACGAATCCCATTAGTGAGACCCAGTGGCTAATTGTGTTTTATCAAGATAGGTATCTAATTGTGGTTTGGTTTTTGTGCACTGAATGACAACCTTGAGGCTCTCTGGAGTACGATCACCATTTAAATTCCGCGATGTTAAGCGCTTTAAAGAATTCCAGGCCGAAGGATCAAGAGGTTTATGCCAATGTGATTGACGGGCTTAGCAAATTGTACTTTAAAAAACTTCTTCCACTCGAAACTTTGTACAAATTCCATGATTTCCACTCACCTCCACTTGAAAAAAGCGACTTCGAGTCGAAGCCTATGGTTTTGCTTATTGGTCAGTATTCTACTGGAAAAACAACTTTTATACGTTACCTAATTGGTGAAGATTTTCCTGGCATCCGAATAGGTCCCGAACCAACTACAGATAGTTTCATAGCTGTCATGAACGATGCAAGAAGCGGGATTATTCCTGGGAATGCTCTCGTAATGGATTATTCAAAGCAATTTCGACCTCTTTCTAAATTTGGAAATGGTTTTTTAAATCGTTTTCAGTGTGCACACATGCCAAATGGTGTTTTGGATGGAATAACGTTTATTGATACACCTGGTATTTTGAGTGGCGAGAAGCAACGTGTCGATCGTGGTTACGACTTCTCAGGTGTTATTGAGTGGTTCGCAGAGCGCGCAGATAGAATCATCTTGCTTTTCGACGCTCATAAACTGGATATATCGGACGAATTCCGGCGGGTTATCGAAGTTTTAAAGGTACAGTTTTCTGATATTTTGGCAAAGCCAGCTTTTTTTTGTCGTTGCACTTATACTCACGTATTACTCTTTCCGAAAACTCCCCAGAATCTTGCAGAACCAAAGTAATCAGCTAAATACTTAATTCCGGGATAAGTGCTTGTTGCTCATGCTAGGATTTCTGTCTCCATTTTTATTCTGAACGACTGCTTTCAATGTTAAGTGGTCACTTTTTTAAAAAGTTACGAAATTCGCGAATATGTCAGAAGAGTGTACTTTGTTACATCCGATCTTACTCTACCAATAGGATCTCTTCATGAGTTACTTGTATGTATGTCAAAGTTAGGCTGTTGATATTAGAATAAAACTACTGTTTTCAATCCCTCAGTGAACAGTAGCGAAGTGTGAGCCTTATGTGAAAATGGTTGTTACGGTGGAATCTGATTAGATTTGTAACATTTTGGAGTAAAAAGACATGGACCCCTAGTATTGTTGTTTTTAACTTAATGTTAGATTACGAGCACTCTATTCATATGACTTATGTATATATGAAATTTGATCATACGTAATCTTGATGCTCAAATCCAACTTTGAATTTCAAAAACCTTTAATTAGACATTATGGCGTCCCAGCTCCATAGTATAGTTTCCGTCTTGCTCACATCTTGTTGTTTTTGGTCACTTAGTTTTTGAATGCTAATTATATTAACTTGTGTTTTGAGAAAAAAACTAAGTTGGATACACTCACTTATGTATTTTTACATTTGTTTCTGTTTAGTTGGTAATGAAAAGCTTCATCGGGGCTACAAATTATCCAAAGCTAGTAGTTTGCAAGACAAATAAATTTTAGTCCACTTAACGTAGATGTATTCATTCCTCTTTTTTTTAAAATTTAATGGTTTCAGCTTTTAAAAATTCAAACTGTTTTTAGAAATGCATGACTCTAAACTATCGATGTGTTTTTTATTTATCAATGAACTTTTATCTGTTGATCAGACTAGCTACGATAACATAACGTTTATTTTTTAGCTAAAGACACAATTGTGTTCTGAGGCATTACTGTGCCTATCGCAAATAATTTGAACCACTACGCAGGATAATTATAATCTATAGCTAGGTGATGTTTGTTCTTAAAGTTTGAACCCGGAACGGGTCACTAGTTCATTTGTCTTCAAGTTTTACTCCTCTCTTTTTTCATCTCTTCTAATTATTGATTACTTTTGGTTTTTTTCAACATTCTAGTATATAGTCCCCCTTCCGAGATTTCATATTTACTATTATTCATATGAGATATTTATGAAAAATCAAGTCATGTATTTAAAAGACCTTAATATGTACTATGTCCTTACGCAAGCGACGTTTAACGACGACCAACATACAGAGCATGGTATTACAACAAAGTTAATTCATCCTTTGATCACTGGTTATATAACCATATTGTTTACAAACCGAAAACCCGGTTTAAATTGATGTGATCTTGTTTGGCCATCAGCACTTATTATAGTCTGTGAATGTGGGAATTCCGTGTTGATTTGACAGGTCTGGTATTAAACAACCAAAAGCGGTTGATATGAGATATATAATTCAAGTTATCGATAGTCAGTTGAATTTTTGCTCTTTTGCAAATGTTTATGAACTCAGACTTAAATTTCTCCGCTTCATTTTTAATTACCTATGAATTTTTTCACTACTATAATTGTATGCTTTGTTGGAGAGTTCTAATGGCACCGAATATAAATATATTTTGGTTTAAATAACTTTACGGAATCTGTATCAACTAGTATTGCATAAAATTCTCCACATTCTATGATAATAGCTTTAAACATACGTTATTTTATTGAAAAATGGTGTTACATAGAACTGAACATAATGAAGTGCACCATGTAAGCTGAAATAGCGATACAGCGAACAGATGAGAAAAAATCATATAGAATAAGACAACGAGAATAAGAGCCGTTCGATAAATTAGCTTAGGATGCTAATAGTTTGGGAATCTTTCATGTCTTAAACTTTTTTTTTAAAGTTCTGACCATCTGTTCCCATTTTCAATAAAGTGTTTAAGTTTTTCAGGTATTCATTTTCATTCATTCATGACTCAATAAATACACATCAAAAAGCTTGTCTCGTTTTCCTGTCACTCTTTTCTTCCCTTCATTTACATTCTCTGTCTATTGAACGGTTTCAGAGTGAATTCATCCAGTGATTTTAATTCTTTTTGTACATCATTATTGACAGAAAATTTCATTTTGATTGAAGCACATTACGTCTAATTTGTTTATTTCTGATGATTCATTTTCTTTTACTTATTTAAAGAAATGTTTTGACATTTAATATGTCGAGGGTTGGTTAGTTCAAAATAAATCAACATAATAAATAAAGGGAATTGATTTTTATACCTATTTGGTTACTGTTATTACCGACGTGTATTTTATACGAATTAATTATATATTTCCATATATGTTGGTTAGTTATTCGAAATTAGTGTGTTTTGAGCGTTCATTTCATACGATCCTATTATTTCTAATCTAAATTTATCTTAACTGTTTTTTGGTTGAATCGAAAGTCCTCTCATTCTGGATCGAGTTACTGCTGAGTCCTAATGGTTGACGGTGGATTTATGGTGGATTGTTGGTTCAGGCTCCTCAACTTTCAGTCACCGATTCGGGTTAAAAAGCTGCTCCACTACATGCACATGTTTCTCGTTTTGTTGAATTACTCTTACTGTCACAATTGATTGATCACTGGGTGGTGATCAATGTCATGCTTGTCTAGTCCTTAATAGTGCAGATCGAATGCTATCGATCATGTTGCAATGTGGTCACTAGTCTAGGTGACTCGACACTGCGGGCACTATGTATTGAGATTTAGATGGTGGTTGGAGGTAGTCAACAGGAAACCCTGGACCCGGGTTTCGTGTTACTTGGCACTCGTCAGCAAGGTGTATCTGTAATCTTGAGGGAACTGGTGCTCCCCGGCGGATTCGATCTCGTGTCACCCAGCTTCACAGTCAGAGACGTTACCACTGAGCTATCCGAGCCGCGACCGCACGAAAACCGAGTCCAGGGTTTCCTGTTGACTACCTCCAACCACCATCTAAAATCTCAATACATAGTGCGCGCAGTGTCGAGTCACCTAGACTAGTGGCCACATTGCAACATGATCGATAGCATTCGATCTGCACTATTAAGGACTAGACAAGCATGACATTGATCACCACCCAGTGATCAATCAATTGTGATTACATCTCAGTCCTACAGGAGGTCAGTCGCGGCTCGGATAGCTCAGTGCTAACGTCTCTGACTGTGAAGCTGAGTGACACGAGATCGAATCCGCCGGGGAACACCAGTTCCCTCAAGATTACAGATACACCTTGCTGACGAGTGCCAAGTAGCACGAAACCCGGGTCCAGGGTTTCCTGTTGACTACCTCCAACCACCATCTAAAATTACTCTTACTGTGCTAATACGAAAGGTAGTAACTTCAATCTATATCCATTCATGTCAGTAATAACTGGCTTTAGCAGTTCGCTTCATCCTACTTTATGAGTGTGAAACATGGGCATTAAGAATAGAGGATGCTTTACGAGGGTTAATAGTATTCGATCATAGGCTTTTTCGGAGCACTTCCCATGTATTTTAGAACCACCGAGTAGGCAGTGTCTGGTTTAGAAATAAGGCATTAGGTAAGGATGGCAAATCGGTTGGTAGGGTATTAAATCTTCATCAACTTAGATGGTTGTGACATGCATTACGTATGTCCAACTACCGCCTACCTCGATTGTCGACGTTGTCTTTGGAGGCGGTCAAACCAAAACATACTATCAATCTTTGAATTCATTGACAATTAAACTGAACCATGTTAATAGGTGTATAATATCTAGTTGTGGTCTATGTAATTACCTTAACCAATGGTTAGAAGCCTTGAATGACATGGCTCAAAATCTTTGCAGTTGCTCAGGTTCATCCATTCTTTGTCTTACCCCGAATTCTCAGCTTTTGGATCTATTATAACTTTTTTCTGTGTTTTTATTTCACTAACTTATATTTCAATGAATCGTATTTTTGACCCTTAGTCTTTCCATTCACTACTCATACTCAGTCAGTCAGCTACAACGTAGGACCAGGCACATATATGCATCGGTCCAAGTTGCCATACCTCATTAACACAACAAGATGGACAACGGATTCATGGAAGTAATTAATTCAGAGGTGGTAATATATAAAAGAAAGATTACAATAAGGATATAGTACAGGGAGAAAGAATTAGTTCGGCTATACCAGGGCATTTGGCGGCTCTCACTATTACTTACCCGGTGATCCCAGCAGACGCCAGCAATATTTCTAAGGCACCAGCGGTCAAATACTAGTAGCTTACGAGTGTCTTCTACTCTTAATAGCCATGTTTCGCTGCCGTAAATTAAAACAGAACGGACTGCCGCGCAGTATACTCGTCCTTTTGTTGATAGACAGATATCTCGCCTTCGCCATAGGTGACGTTAATACCTCTACTATTATGGGACTTAATGTGACAATTTTATCTCTCTGGTATTGTAACTTGGACTGATGCACATACATACCGGGCTGCACATCGCATCTAACTACCTGAATGAGTAACTGACTTAAGTTATTTTATTGGTTTGAAGTGAAGTTAATGTCGTACAAATCGTACACTCATTTTTCTGCAGAGCTTTTTTTATCATACTGTTTATGTGTTAAATTACTAGTGTTTATGTAGTTACTTCAAGAGTCGAATTTTTGTGTTAATTTAGAGTTTTTCCACACGGTGTGATTTTATTTTGTCAAAATATTATCTCAATATACAGAAGTTCATTGAGTAAGTAAATTTTAAACAGTACTCAAGTGTTACTACGTTAGTTACTAAACAATCAGTCAGAAAAACAACTTATTATTCCTGTCTTATACGGTTTGACTGGATATGTTCGGATACTAAGATTCATCTATAAGGATATAGTACAGGGAGAAAGAATTAGTTCGTAGAAAGAAAGATATGAAGCGATTTTAATCTCTTAGTTTAAGGGAAGACAGAGAGTGTATACACCGACGCCATTGTGATCGATTCTGAGCCATATCACCAAGAGTCTCCAACCATTGGTTATATATATATATAGTACACATCTAAATCTGATCCTAGACTGGTCTATAAAACAGAAAATCCCAGTCATAGGGTCTAATAAGCGATTATTATGGGTGCATAAACTTCCTTTGTTAGCTGTAGTCGTTGAATGCATATTAAAATAAAATACCTGGTGTTTCTGTTTAAAATACTCTTCAGTAATATAGTGCAATACGTATACTTTAAAAAATCTTCACCTGTTGTTTTTTTGTATTTAGTCGAACGAAGACAAAATACGTATTGTTTTAAATAAGGCAGATACAATTGATTCTCAACAACTTATGAGAGTGTATGGTGCTTTAATGTGGAGTTTAGGAAAAATATTAAATACACCTGAAGTAGCACGTGTATATATTGGTAGTTTTTGGGACCGTCAGTTAGTATTTGATACCAATAGAAAGTTGTTTGAATTAGAGAAAATGGATTTGTTTCGTGATTTGGCTACTCTACCTGCAAATGGTACTCTGAGAAAATTGAACGATTTCATTAGACGTGCTCGTCTTGCCAAAGTAAGTATTTTGTTGTCATTTGTGCAAATTATCACTTCTGATTTTTCATCTTACTGTGGTTTCGTTGCAGATAGATCAAAACTTATGTTTTGAGGATCCCTGATTATCATGTACCGGATCACCAATCAGGATCCTAATTCTAATTTAGTCTGCTATTTATTCTATAGCATAGTATCTCTGATTTGGGCAATAACAAACCCGACCAGCGCTATTGAACTTAGGCAGGTAGCTAGGCTCCTGTTGACTCATTATTCGCAAGCTCTTCTTTAGCCTCCGCCTTGAGGTTAGAAATAACAGCCGACCTCCACTATATTTATTTTTCAGGCAGATGTGATTAATATACGGACATACCGAACTACATCACACCATAAACTGAAAAAATAATCATACATAAACAAATCAAAAGCGGATGTGAATAGGGTAGACTGTAAATAGTAGACTGGGAACAAATTAGGAATATAAGTAGTATAACAGTAGTTAATGGGTTTACCGAAAACTTGTGATTAAAGAAATTCATGTGGCTAATATTCTAGTTACTCAGTAATCGTACAGCGAAATTATAATCAGTAGTAATCCTGAAATCCAGTTCCAACTTTTACAATATTCGTTCCGTTACAACAAAATGCCAAGTTTTCTCCCAATCATCGTATCTGAACGTTTTCCCAATATATTTTCTTTATCGTATGGGTATGGAGTATTAAGATTTCTAATATTAGGAGGCATAATAATTGAATAAATGAAAGTATGTTTATCACTGAGATTGATTTTGAACCACAAAAGCTAAAGCCTTTCGTCATCAGCTTTATAAAATAATGACTTTACTAATCTTAATACCTTAGTATTCTATATTTTCCAACCCCTCATCTCGTATGGCAAGATCTTGACAACACACGCATGAACATGAGTTGTAAATTTGTAGCGTTGATTGAAGTCATGAAAATATTGATAAAGTTTTGTACCAATCATTATGGTTCGTTAATTAATTCACGTCAGTCTGCCTGTGATGTATCTCACCAAGTATAGATTAGTGTAATCTGCTTCCAGCCACATTGTATGTAGTGCTATTCGGCTGCTGTAACCGAATTAGGATGTATGGGACTCAAAACTGCGACCTAGCAACTGACAGTTGAGCATTAATAAGCCACCGCTTTAGCTTGTTTAGTCAGATATCTGGAGTGGTAATAAGCTAAATAGTATGTTGGCAACATGACCTTTTCGTATTTTAACTACAAATTGCCATATTTATATTCTGTATTTCTAACTTGTGGTTCTTTTTTAAGCTTCAAAAATGCGTAAGAAACTAAAGACACCACAAAAGTAACTTACACATAGTCACAAAACCTTACCCATTAGGATATTACAAATATATAATTTTATAATCAAAACTAATGAGGGTTTTTCCTAATTAATTGGTCGATAACACTTCAAGTTGAGTAAATCCCTTGTTGGATTATGATTTCATCAATAGTTAACCTATACCTACGAGCCAAGGAAGGAAATGTTTTTTTGTAATACACTAGGATTGACGTTCATTTTTGGTAAAGATTGTATGCTAATTAACCCATTATTAATTTAGACATATTTACAATCATAACACAATGTGATATTCGACTTAGATATATAACCGAAGGTTGAATAAATAAACATTTAGGCAAAATTTATTATTATTATAAAATCTCGATTTACAGTTGAATTATGTTTCTAATATCCACGCATCTGTAGAGGAATTATACGTTTGATGTTTCAAGGTTAAATAGTTCATTCAGTCAAGTTACACCGCATCCTCCAATCAATAAAGAGGTTATGTCTATGGAGAATGGTCTTATTTCTATCACTTTTATTGAATTCCCTGCAACTTTTTCAAAAATCTTTTTATACAACGTGTATTGTTATTTATGAGGAACTTTGTGTTCAGCTTATTTTATCTGTAAAATTAACATATTTATCTCGAAAATGTTTTCACATACATATATTAACTTCAGTTAGGCAAAATTGTTATTAATAGACCTCTGGTCGATGTATACGGTGTTTAGACAAAAACTATAACTTGAAAGTAATCTCAAAGGTCAAAGTCTATATTTTATCCTTATTGGGACTTACTTGAATGATTCATTCTGAGCACACTCATATTCCTAAATTTCTAAGATCATTTTTCTAGCCAAGTCAATTGAAGTTTTCTTAAAAAAGAATTCCTAAGAACGCTTTCTATCCCATTGATACCTAACATATATAATACAATATTAGTACTAATGACTGTATCTTGTTACTACTATAGAAATCCCATATTTAGTTATAAAAGTGATTAAATTATGAATCCTATCTGTATGTTAACTCTTACATATTGGTTAGCACTAGAAATGTCATGTATACTACATCCTTCATGAGTAATGTGTCATGTGTCTTCAATCCTAATAATTAAATGAGCTGGGTAATCTTTCTAGAGGGCATTGATTATGTTTTCGATGGATTCATACAAGATCTTCAATTTCTAGAACACTAAACCATACCAAATCTTGTATGTTATTAGATACTGTTTATATTGGATATGCCAAATGTTTGTTAAATGTTCTCATTTACTATTTTCTCCTTACTTTAGGTTCATGCTTATGTTATTTCGCATTTGAAAAAAGAAATGCCAACAATCGTTGGTAAAGATGCTAAGAAAAAGGAGCTTATCAATAATTTATCCAAAGTATACGACACCATATCACGTACACAACATATATCAATTGGTGATTTCCCTAACATTAACAGAATGCAAGAATCTTTAGAAGTACATGATTTTAGAACATTTCCTGCACTACAACCAAAATTAATCAAAGCTGTCGATGAAATGTTATCGAGTGAAGTAGCAAAATTAGTACAAATGATTCCAATGGTAAGTCTATTACTGTGATGTTGTTGGAAATATTTTGAACTCCAGTCGTAAATGTGTTTTTAATATTTGATTGCTTCAGTTTACATAAGCGAAGCTTTCCAATGCAGACTAGACATGTTTAAAGCAGGATATGTAGATATTATTACTATTTGGTTTCTGGTTTGCAAAGTTATTTTAACAACTTTATTTGTCTGGAAAACTTCCCGATACACAACATTTAATTCAAACTAGAAAATGTAATTTTATATATTCTTGATTAATTTAACTCAACTATAAGGTAATTAATTGTTGGCCGGTCAGAAATTAGCCAGATCATACGTGGACATGATCGGTCAAGATATGACTTACATTTCCTCAGAATGAAATACCGTCGGTTGTATAATTTTCTAGACGGCATTATATATATCACAACACATACTCGAGTACATTCAGTGGTTTTCACTTAACACAATTTAAGTTGAATCTTTTTTGTTGTTTGGTAGAACTTTAACTCCCCAGTAGGTATGATAAAAATTTGATGTAAAATATATTTTAAGTATCTGGAAGGCCCTGATTCATTCATATTGTATGATCATTATGCTAAACAGACTGAATTGAAAATTAAATGATTGTCTGTTATGTTATAGATTAGGAAACAAAACTAACATGCCATCATATTTTTTGCCACATTGCGTAAAATGTACTATGATATTTTATTCTAATAGTAGTTATTTACAACTAACTAACAAGATTCCTTCAAAGTTTTACTTAAAACAAATAATGTATTTCTAAAGGAATAAACTACCATCGTTTCAAGTAGCACAAATAATATGATCTACAAGTATTTCAATGTTAATAATTTATTCAGTGAGTAAAGTATATGAAATGCGAAGTTTGTAATTACACGTTAAAACGGTTATAATGTATAAAGCCAACTCAGGGATAATGAAAACTCATTTCCAAGCTGTTAGTAAAATATTTAGTGTGAAATTTAGTCGTTTAGTGATTCTTATTTCGAACAAGTGGTGTTTTACATTACGTTTGACTGAATAACTGTAAGTAGATTTCGGAATTACGAAAAAATTAGTGTGTGTATAAACCTACTTTTGCGTTTGGCAGTTACTTTGCAATAAATCTTTTGATTGTGCCTCAATACTTTGTGAACTAGACTTCGTAAGTCGAATACAGTGAAGTAGTACCATCAAAGCACCATATACTTCATTTTGCACATTTGTACAGCCCTGTTTCTATATTATTCCAATCATATTTTCAGTCAGCCAGCTACAACGTAGGATCAGGCACATACATGCATCGGTCCAAGTTGCCATACCTCATTAACACAACAAGATGGACACCGGATTCATATAAGTAGTTAATTCAGAGGTGGTAATATATAAAAGAAAGATTACAATAAGGATATAGTACAGGGAGAAAGAATTAGTTCGGCTATATCAGGGCATTTGGCGGCTCTCACTATTACTTACCCGGTGATCCCAGCAGACGCCAGCAATATTTCTAAGGCACCTGCGGTCAAATACTAGTAGCTTACGAGTGTCTTCTACTCTTAATAGCCATGTTTCGCTGCCGTAAATTAAAACAGAACGGACTGCCGCGCAGTATACTCGTCCTTTTGTTGATAGACAGATATCTCGCCTTCGCCATAGGTGACGTTAATACCTCTACTATTATGGGACTTAATGTGACAATTTTATCTCTCTGGTATTGTAACTTGGACTGATGCACATACATACCGGGCTGCACATCGCATCTAACTACCTGAATGAGTAACTGACTTAAGCTCATTCCAAACATTCTGGCATTGTTGCTTAGTGCTACCAAAAGACTGCATTTTATCAGCGTCTTCACCAAACAGGACTATATTGTCTGCGTATTCTAATTCGATAAGTGGACCTTCTGGTAGGAGATCATTGCCCGAGAACTCTGTCGACGAGAGCGTTATTTCCATCAGTATTGTTATGACCTTGATGTCTGGCTTTCTATCACGCGACTTATCGACCAGTCAGAATACGACTTATACAATTTTGCACTATGCCAAACCAATGACGTTCCACTTGAGTCCAGAACACAATACCAGCTTCTGTAGTGTGAATCGAATCAGATCGAATCGTTTATTTCAGACATATTCGGTTTATATATCAATCAGGCAGACCACAACGTACCATAAAATAGAAAATAACATGTGTACACAAATAAGCCAAAAAGTGGCTGTGAACGAGGGGGACAGTAATTAATAGACTGAGCATAGCTTAAGAATCGTAAATCGTACAATAATAAAATATAGGTCAAAATAAAGCTTATAATAAGAGGAATATAAATATGCATAATCTAATTATTCAATAGTTTTACAATAAGAATATTAGTCCATTAATAGGCCTCGGGAGTTACCTGTAATTTATTTTTCACTGGGTTATAACAAGTATGTCTATGATGAAGTTGAACAAAAATGGAGAAAGTGGACAGCCCTGACGGATACCACCTGAGGTTGCAAAATCAGATGACAGTTCACGATATGCTCTGACTCGACTAGTGGTGTTCGAGTAAAAAGCCTTCACAAGGTTTGTGTACTTCTGGAGTACGCCTTTCAGTGACAGACACTGCCACAGAATCTCGCGGTCTACCGAGTCAAATGCTGCTTTTAAGTCAAGAAGGACCACCATTGTCGGACGTCGATAAGTATGCCTATGTTCTAGAACCTGACGAATGGTAAATATGTGGTTGATGCAGCCACGACCAGGTCTGAAGCCACCTTGATTATCTCGTGTTTGCAGTTCACGAGTCTTAGTGAGGCGACCGATAATTATTGACTCTAGTAATTTAGATGCTATGTTAGTCAAACTAGTCCCATTATTGTTGTCACAGGATGATTTTAACCCTTTCTTATATATTGGGATGATAAGTGATTGTGACCAGTTAGATGGAATTACGTCCAACTCCCAGATTTTAGCTAAATTATTAGTCAACCTGATCACTGAAATTGGACCACCATCCTTAAAGACCTCTGGAGCCAATCCATCTGGACCAGTTACCCTTCCTCGTTTCAGATTAACTATAGCCTTTTGAACTTCAGCTAGATTTGGGGGACCTACTTCAATGTTCCATTCACACTGTCTGGGAATGGTGGGTAGTTGTAGAGTAGCTGAAGACCAGCTGAACTGTTCTCTAAAATGTTCCGCGCATCGTTCTAAACGTCTGGACTTGGAGCAGATGAGTGTCGTCTTTTTCCGAGATAGTCTCACTTACACTTGACTTTTTAGTTCCAGTTTCTTTTATGAGTCTTTTTTGTGTGATGCATTCATATTTGGTTCTCACTTATACCAATTTTTATGTGTTCAAATAAATAAATAATGATCAACTGATTAGCCACTAAAAAGCAATCTTGTTTAATTGAGATTAAGTTATCTACAGTTATTCTTTAATGGAAAGATATTCTAATAATTATATCACAATCAATGTTCATCCACGTTTTCTAAAGATAAAAATAATTTGCTAATTTTTTTACAACCCCTAACACAGAACTCTGAAGATATCTCACATAAATGTTTGTACTTCATTCGACAGCCAAGCTACTGCCTGGGTGCTGGTATAGATTATTTAGTATGACTAGTGTTATAAAATTAACACGTTTTCTGTCATCATCTTCTGATTAACATAAATTAGTATTTAAACTTGGATTAATTTTAATTTGGTTATTTATTCTCTGAAAAAGTGACTTGCTTTAAGCCACGAAACGTCAGAAAATCTAATTTTTCTACTCATTGGCATATTACAAATATATTAATTTATTTATAAAGTAGTATGTTTAAACCTAATTTTTCTTGATATTTTATAATTTATTTTCTTTCCTTGGGAAGTTAGTTTAATGTTAATCCTCATATGAATTTCTTAATCTCAAGTACACTTACATAAGTTGAAATCAAGTTTCTATTGACAGTTGACTTTCAAATTTCTCAAAATGTGTAAAGTAAATTGTAAGTTACACTTTGATTATTGCTTAAATAAAAAAAACTATCTCATATCTGTTACAAACACGTCACTCCTATTCATTATAAGTTTATGTTAGAAAATTAGAGATACATCAGCAAAATTCAAACCAAATATACAAAAATAGTTTTAATAATAACAATTAAATAAAGACTATAAAAAGAGATCTCATTTAAAAAAAAATTGGAAATCCTAATTCCATAGTATACTGTATACAGTTCAAACTAATATTTTCAAGTTTGGTAAGTTGATAGGATTTCTTCAGTTGATTTTTGTAAGACTATTTTAATTCTATTTCTAATTTATTTTGTGTTTTATCTGACCAAACCATATAATAACTTGGTATGTTCAGTACAAACAGAAATAAAATCTTCAATTAGTTCATATCTGAATCGATCAAATTAAACTATACTCATGACTGGCAAAAGTGAAGCAGTCACTCAATATAGAATGGTGACTTAATGTTTAGGACATTTGATTTCCAGTCATTAAGTTCTAAAATCGAACCATTCCCCTCCCCACCTATTTTTGTTTGGACAAGCACAGCCACATTTAGAGTGTGGTTAATATCCGAGTGTTTAATTATTTACTTCCGTTTTAATAATTACGATTGAATACTGTTAGGTTTGAGATACTCTCTATCGTTTACTTATTGTAAATAATTGAAATCATTTAATTTTACCTTACTACTGTTAAACTAGCTTGATTTCAGATGTTCATTGTGCAGAAATTTTTGTAATTCATTAGACTATATATATATATATATCCTTATATTACAACTGATATACATTTATATGTAAAAAATTGATATTCAACAATCTAAAAAAGCATATAAACTTTAATATTTTAGACCTAGTTACTGTGACACGAAATATTAGACATTTCAAGAATAATAAAATACCACCTGTGCTCTGTTATGTTCACTAACCAGAATATGTTACATTTGCATATATATATATATATATATATATATATATATATATATATATATATATATATATATATATATATATATATAT